CAACGGAATTTGTGGGCATGCCGCACAAGTCTCATCCAGCGAGGGAATGCGTGGTGCCTCTTCCCGATTTCACAACTTATAGAAGCGTTCCCAAGAGTATTAGAAAATCGGTGGAAAAAAGTCGAGTCCCGTTATTTAGGAAGATTGCGAATTTTTTTTTGTATCGAAAGAAACGTTCACCTTTTGTAATTACCTTCTTGCTTAAACTCGAGGAAAATTTTTCACGTCCGAGTTTGTTAAACTTGTTTGAACATTTTCTAGGTCGATGAGGTTCTATCCGGCAGATACGAAATGTTTGGGGAGCCTGTGATGGAAGCGGTGATCAACTTCAAATGGAGAAAGTTTGCAAGGATTCGAGTTTTCGGGATGTTGTTTGTTTACATGATATACGCTATTGCGTTCATGATCGGAATTACGACAACGAATCATCCGCTCAGGGTATCGACGATGTTGATTGTGTTTGTCGGCGGATTTTTATACCTGTGCCTTGAGATCATGCAAATGTTTGGGCAGATTGTGGAATATTGGTTCAGTGTATACAACTACCTGGATTTGGCCAGAAGCATCTTGCCGATGGTTGTGGCAAAGAAATTCATATTTGACTTTGAAGCTCAAGATCAACCATCGGATGGACTCCGTGGAGCCGCCATGTTATTTATTTACGTTGATCTCGTGAGTGTTTTCTGTGATAGATCTCGCGGGATTCGCTGCTCCCGTCTCTACGTTTTCCAATCGCAAATTCTAATTCAATCAATCTTACGAATCAAAGATCTTACATTTTCGCGTATTTAGGCCAATCGGCATTCCCATATTCATGATCCTCGAGATCTTTCGAAAAGTTTGGTGGATCATCGTCATCATGGGAGTCATGGTCTTTTCTTTTGCGCACATTTTCCATCTCCTACTAAAAGATGAAAATTCAAATTACCAACAATTTGGATTGTCGCTGGTTTCCATCTATTTCATCCTGGTAAGAAACCTTCAAAGAACATAATTTCTTCTTTTCTCTTAACTTTCTTGATCATCGGTCTTTCTTTTTTCCCGAAACGCCTAGATCGGGCAATATGATTCCGTCAATGTTGAAAAAACCAATAATATCACCATCACCATATTATTGATGGTTTTTTCATTCTTCACTGCCATATTGTTGTTAAATGTTTTGATCGCTATTATGGCGGATGTGGTGAGAGAGACCGAAACCACCGGCATACGAGCCTGGTTAAAACAAAAGGCGGAGGTATGCAATGTTCAACTGTCACTTTGCCGCACACGGTGATTCGCCCAACCCAAGATATGATAAAATTCGATTTGTGACCGCCGCTTTGTCAATTTAAAACAGGTCATAGCGGAGATCGAAATGTATATGATGACGCCAGCGCAACGCAAGAAGAAAGATTACTTTCCTTCTTTGATCTATTACTACGCGAATCCCGACAAGATCAAGGCGTATAAGAAAAGGATGGAGAACCGAGATACCGAATGGGAGGGTGATAACATGGAGGTGGGCATTCGATGTTTGTGATGCAAGATTTTCTTCACAGGAATTAAGAACTGCTATCCATACCTTCCAAAGCCCGGGATTCGAGATAAAGATATTATTCCGTGAATTTCAAATTTCTCACACAATTAATCGATGGTTTCTCTCTCTCTTTTTTTTTTTTTGTTTTTTTTTTTTCTTCTATTCTCTCGTAATACAGGAAGATGTAAAGGAATCTGATTTTCCATGGATTAAGAGTAATCTCGACAGCAGTACCAGCAACGTGGCAAGGGTTTACCCGCCAGTGAGCGAATTTGCGGAAGAATCTTCCAACGATGAATGACAACCATTTTAAGATCAATTTATTAACCTAAATCAAAGTCCCGGGTGGTAATAACTTTACAAATGCAGTATCTTATTTATTCCTTTGTAAAATTAATTTATTTAACACGGTCGACTCTCGGTGTGATAAATTAAGAGTTGGGTGGTATATCTTGTATATCTTGTCGAGAGTCGGACCGCACCTTCTGTATTTTACGTTTTCACCATGATCCGGCCGAGGTATCTTGTACCATCATACATACATACATACATACATATATAATAACGTGCATATGAAACAAAAGATTATTTATACCTTGCGCCGTGACCGCTATGCTGCAAATAGAATTTCACCGAAAGCAAGGCAAGGCAAGGAAAGGAGGGTAAGACAAGGAGGGTATAATGGTAATCAAGGTATTATAAAGAGAAATGGAATGTTGTATTTTAAATCTATTGGTTGCTCATAAAGGCCTGAGTGGACTGATCATGAAAAATTTGATTTTGTGAAATAAATGATCAAACAACGTTGAGATTTCCATTTTGCACATGAATAAAATGTCCAAGGGTCCACCTAACAAATCGACTTGGCGATCTCGCTGGCAAACCTGATGGCCTCGTGAATTGACCCCGAAGCCACTTCGTCGTCGAATTTCATCCTCGGCGATTTGTTCCTTTCTCCATTACGCCGTCGCCAGCAATGACTCTTCAGCGTGATATGATTCTCCATGGTGATTTTATTGTCGTTTTGTCCATTTATCTCCTGTTGCGTAGTGACTGTCGTGATTTTGAACTTATCATTTCTTTCGCGAAAAGAGATCGATTGTTAAAATGACGAAACGGAAATGAAGAGATCAACGAGGCATATGGAACTAACGAGAGACGACACACATGTAACACTTTTTGGTTATCTTCTGTCTAATTCCAACGCAATCAAGTGTTCCCCGAAAGTCTTTTAGGTCAAACCACATTCCTTTTTCACCGGGGATGAGCCTTTCGGCCTGCAGGTCCCTGATGACACGTTCTAACTCGGGTTCGACCAACACGGTGGATTGCGTTTTCACCATGAACCTCAAATCCGGACTTTCCGTCCCCGTCACGATATCGATTATCGCTGCCAAAAATGAATATGATGCATCAATTAGTTTGTTGTGAAATCGATTACAGGGATCTAGGTGGAAAGGGCCAAACCGTGACGCCTAACGTTCGTCGCCAGTTTATCTATTTTCCATAGTCCTGGTAGACGAAAGAAAAAGATTCAATGGTCGGAAACATTTGATTATCATCATTGAATCGACACAATCGCATAGACTTCAATCACCTTCTTCCTTACTCCAACACAATTTCATCTTCCTCCGATGACCGTCGTGCATGTAAAGGATACTGATGCTTTGTTTATCCTTTTTAGACACGTCCAATTTTAATCCAAACTTCCCACAGGTCCTTTCGAAAATCTGCCATATTGGCAGTGTGCTGTGAGAGAAAGAGGTGCTAACACCGCTTATGTTGTTTTTCGTGTGCCTGTCAAATTTACAGAAATCGGCTACACCAAAGACCCTTTGCGGATCCACCTTGGTGAACGTCTGACGACCAAAAAAAATGTGATATTGAATCTGTCTCAAATTGGGATCTAATCCATTGCCCAAATGCGAGTCATCGAATTCGAGTTTTGAAGAGATTTGTCTGATGCATTGGTTAAATTTATCAATGGTGTTGAAACCGTTAGATAGAAGTTCCGCGTTTCTGTCCATCGCACTGTCCATCCGTTCGTTCGCATTGGCACCTTCTCTTGGGGTCCTTTTAACTTTCTCGAGACGATATCTTTGCACGTTAATTAGGTCGTTGTCAACAGCAAATTCAACGAATCGATATCTCGCGTCGGATCTTTCGATACCGCTCACTTTCAACAAGGTGAATCCAACGGTTGGGGCGTATACAAGTTTTGACAGTATTTCGTTGATCAGAACTTTTGCTTGTTCGCGTTGCGACGGTGTACCATGTATTGTAGCTGATGAACGATTTGAGTTCAAGTCCACAAAAACTTTTGCCCCCGTTTGTTCCCTTAATTTTTTTTTTTTTTTTTTAAAAAAAAAAAATTTTTAATCGCTACATTCGACTATCGAATGATTCATGGAAAACCATAATTACCTGATTCTCCTGACGTTGCACCCACGAACTCCAATAATACTCGGACCCAAACCATTAGGGATATACACGGTTTCCTCACCTCTATGCTCTCTAATGGTAGCGTTCTCTTGTCTTCCGTTAGTGGTAGGACTTTGAAAGCATGCCATCTTCTGTTCACTATCTTTCTCACGCGAATCGTCCTTGAAAGAGTCTCCAGGCAGAGCAAAGGGTGGGTGGATGTTGTGATCCACATAAATGACATATGCAATTGCACAGGGTCTTTTTTGGTAACTATGTCAACGCCGATCGTTAACTGCGTATGTTCAGGAATTACGAGTTAAAATGACCATGATGCCATATTTGGTGGGGAGCAGAGGAACTTCTGATGCGAATTAGGATTATTCTGATTTCAGTTTCAACGGAAAAGGGATCACAAAGATTATTACGTACCCGTAGTGTAACTGAACAGAAGTGTCTCTGATGGGATTAAGGATTGTTCTTATTATTGTTTTTTTTTGCTCTGCGAGAAACGCCTGTTCTCCACTAGCGGGAATTTTTCAGCGACTCGTGGAAATGGTGAGATCGATTGTTTTCTTGGGAGACGTTCGACCTCTGGCCACTACTCTCGATACGATGAAGGAATGAATATCATTCAATTGACTGCACTTGGCGAAAGAAAGTTTTGGTAGTGTGTATTCTGCAATGCCGCATTAAAAACTGAAATGCATCTATGGAATTGCGACTGCACGCTGTTAGCCGGAAGGTTGCTTATTTTCATGAGGTAACAGCACGCTAATGTAATATCAGTGTGCATATTTTTCTCACCAATCCTTTTCCGTGAATGGCGTGCCCTCTGGACATTCGAGAAAAATGACTTTATTGAGGTTAACCCGGATCCGAGCATATCACGATAATGGGCTATTAGGATTGCGCAATCACATTAATCTACTCATGATGCTGAACTTTTCACAAAAGAAAGGTATTCACGATCGTTCCCACTGGCGACAGGGGATGCCATCATTTCGACCACTGCAGGCTAAGAAAAGCTCATATTCGGAGTTGCATGTGGCAAGCAGCTTATGTATATACGCTATTTGCGGGGCAATCATATTCCTGATATTCGACGCCGACTTCAATGCCCACTACCTACATCAACGATGAGACTCCAGAACCTTATGTTCGACTGTTGATGAAATGATGTTGGAACGGTGCTCCATCCAATCACCCAAAATTCCGAACGTTCTGATGTGATGTCTTCTCGGACAGATGGTTGCGATGAATGGGGTGCTCAGAAAGTGTTGAATGAACCCCTTACGTACACCAGCAGTCTGCTTTCCACAACAGCGAACTCTCAATCCATCTCAATGATTAGTTTCTACTTTATCGTGCCATAATTGAGGGAATGCTAATAAACGCAAGGTTTATTTATTACAAGGACCATTGAAATCAGACCATGGAGAGAAGGTGAATACCGTGCGGTCCGTGAGAAATTGAATGTCGGTCGAGGCATACGAGAAATGATCAGCGAGGCTTAATGATAAAACGGTAAGGAGTCTCGTGTATATATGCCTTATCTGCGATCGATTGCATGAGTATTCGTTAAAAAAATCGCCCGTTTATGTGTATGCCGCGCAAACCGGTTGCTCGCCTATTTTATTTTCTTGATTAAATTTTTTGTTCACGTAATTTACTAGAAAAAAATTTTTTTTTTTTTTCTCCGATAAATCCGACCAATATGAATTAGTCATCTATTGTATCCGCTAGCAATAATCTGATCTCTCGAGGGATTGAATGATTTCCTATTTAGTACTCTAGTCCACATTACGTAACGAAGACTGAATGCAGTACGCATACTGTAAGACTCTTTCGTAAGAGAAAAAAATCTTTCTTTTCCAATCATATCCACGGTATATGTATAATTCTCTAATTTTTATATATACGGTATATAATTTCAAACTTGTTTATCCATCCTGCTTCCTTTGAGATGTGATTTTAAATTGATTAATTTGAATCCTTCTAAACTCATTTTTTAACAACGATAATTATTATTTCGAATCCTTTTAAACTCATTTTTAAACAATGGTAATTTGAAAAATGAATGGAAGAAAATTCTGATTCTTGTCGTTGCAATAGTGTTAATCGGGTTAAAAAAAAAAACAAATCGTGATATTTGTAAATGAATTTTTGTATGAAATTTAAAATTAATTTAACGCATAATATACAGCAAATTTTGTACATTAATTAAAACATATTTAAATATGACAGCGTAAAAACACCACGCTTTAACCACCCGTCTCGTGATTTTTCTTATTGTCATTATGATGCAAGGAGATGTGACCGATATGACTGATGGCGTCCTTGGCGGAATGGGACATATTGATGACATTTTGAAGCTGTTCATCTATGATGTTTTGGATGCGCGCTTCCACGATGCTTTTTTTTTCCAATTTACCATCGCCGTTAAAATCGTTTGTTGGTTTCTTATCATTCTTGATTTCATTACCAAGTTCGACACTCTCGGTGACAACCTCTGAAACTTCCGTGACCGTCTCCACAACCTCTAGTCCCTCTTTGATATCCGCGGAATGTTCAGTGATCTCCAAGACCAATTCGCTTATGTTATTGACAACGTCGCCAAAATCTATAATAGCATCATCAACGTCACTGACCAACTCGACCATCTTCGGAATCTCCGACCAATCAATGGAAACAATCGTGCCGACTATTTTCACGCTTTTCCAGACTCTGACCCATTTATTGGTTTCATTGATGGTCTCCGGATCGTCTTCATATTTCTTGGAGTCCAAACCACGCCTCTCCAGTTCTTTGGCAATCTCATTACACTTCCCTTGAGTGTAATTATGGGTCAGGGAACCACTGGTATTTATACCGGCTTTGGTCATAGCATGCACGGGATTGAAGATAGTGGTTAGCACTATGCGGGCGGGTGAGTATGCGGTGGATATTTCTTTAGCCACTCCGAGACGAATTTTGCGCGCTTTCAGGGCATGATAGAGCTCTTCGTTGGTCATCTCCTTGGGATTCTTCATTTTTGTTGAATCAAATTTTATGCGATTAAAGTTTGTAAAGTTTACTGTACGCAAGGTACAGTATGTCGAATATATAAAGGGACTCTTCAAAAAGGCTGTGGCTTGACCATTCCCAAAAATATTTGTGGCGTGCTAGTGTAATTAATCGTGTAACATGAAAGCTTTATTCTAAAATGAGATAATTCCTATTGCGGTTCACTGATCGATAAATATGGCATCTTCCTCACAATCTTATCAATTACAGAAGATAACAATTTTTGCCCAAACGTTGCATGGTAATACAAGCCCTCTAATCGAAATCGATTCTGTGAAATTCATTATCGTGTGTTGTGTTTCCATAATATAATGATGTGGCTGACGAATTTTTTCATTACTAACAAAGGAAGTACATGTAGGGTGTCCAGATTTTATGCGGTTGCATAAATAATGCACACAGTAATATACAGTAGTTGCCACCATCCTCCTAGTATATTATATATTAATGCAATTAAATGAATAAATTGCAAATACAAGAATCTAATTATTTTTCAAGAATTTTGAAAT